TTGCCTGCCTCTTCCTCCTCCCCTTCCATTGCTTGCTGGTCTTGTCTTCTTTTCTCCCTCTCCCCTCCCTCCCACCCCCCAGTTTTAAAGAAACTCACCTATGGAGCAAGGAGCTAGGAGGTTTTCCCAGCTGAGTAGGGGCTGGTGTGGGTGATGGCTTGGCTCCTTCCCCTCCTACAGTAACTAGATTTTTGTTGTCTAGGCTATGTCTGCACTACGGGACTTTATAGGAAAAAGGTATGCAAATAGCGGAGCGCAATTTGGGTACCTTTTTCCAATAGCTTTTTCGGAAGAGGCTTTTCCAAAATTTGGCTCATCTACAGTGGGCCAAATTTCAGGAAAAAAGCCCTCTTTTGGAAGAGCCCCTTTTCCTTGTGGAAGGAGGAAGACCGGGCTTCTGAAAGAACATGTCTTCTCTTCCTCCAACAACAACAACAACAACAACAAAAAGCGGAAGACCAGACGCGTTCCCTGTCTGGTAACCTTTTTGACTGGATTTTCTAGGTGAAACCTGGGCACCTGGCCATTCTAGTCAGGAAGCTTAGAGGGAGGAGTTAACCCTCTCTTCTTGATGAAGGAAGGATCTCAGGCTATGGCTACAGTGGCACAGCTTCACTGTACAGACACTCTGAACAGATGGGAGAGAGAGCTCTCAGCAACTTTATTACTCCTGCTTATGTGAGCAGCATTATGTGGCAGGAGAATCTCTACTACCAGCACAGCACTGTCCATACCAGTACTTAGGTCGATGAAACTTATTCACTCCCTTAAGTGATATAACTTACACTGACTTAAGATGTAGTGTGTATTGAACCAAAAAAAATTAGCTTCAATCCAAAATTAATAATTTACAATTTTTTTCAGCAAACGAAAAAGTAAAAAAAGTTCTGAGACACCAAACAAAGCATTTTATTCAAACTGAAATAAAACATTTCATTTTATCTGTGGCTTTTTACCTTTTAAAAAATAAACTGGAAATAAAGTTTTAAAATAAATCCCAGCCATTTCACTGACAATCTATAAATTTCATTTTGAAAATTTCAGAGAGAAACTTCTTAAATGGTTTGGATTTTTGGAGGGGTAAAACAATTAGGCAAATATAATGTGAATTTGCAAAATGTTTAGACCTACTTAAGTGTGCCTTTTTTAGAAAAATAAAGTTTGTGCAAAAATTTCATCCAGCTCTAATCTAGGTGCTTACACACACCCCATTAGTGCCAAACCATTTTAGGTACCCAGATAAAGGCCAGATTTTCACAAGTGTGCAGTGCCTAGCCTTTCCTCCTGTGATATTTGTGGCCAGGTTTTTAAAAGAGCTCAGCATCCATCATGCAGAATTATTCTGAAAGTCTGGTCCTAATAGTGGACTGTGAGCTTTTTAAAAAAATTTCAACAGAGTCACACAAATCTGTGGTGGAGCGGAGAACTGCGCCCAAATCCCCTGGCTTTCTAGAACACTTCCGTAAACATACAACTTTCCCCTGCTTCTGCTCCTTCTGAAGTCAGTGGCAGGATTGCCATTGAATTATAAGGCATAGGATTAGATTGTATGGTATAGAATGATGAGGTTCTAAGAAGGAAAAATGCTGTGAGGTGTGGGGTGTCCTGAGTAAGAAAGGAAGGAAGGCTCTCAGTGAAGAAATAGGAGCTGAGGGTGGTTTTGCTCTTTTACTCTGGAATTTGGTTCCAGGGATCAGATGTAAAAATATTTACTGTTATGGATTGCAAAAAAGTCCTTCACTGCAGTTTTCAGAGTCTATCTTGGAATGACTAGAACCACACTTCTGCACCCACCAGCCTATCTTTGATTAAAATGCTACCTCAAGTCAGTTTTATGCTTAACTAGAAGATTTCAGCATTGCTCAGGTCTTTAACTGTACTAATCTTTGTTTTTCTTCATTTAAATAATTTATTTGGGCTGGAGATGGGGATAAGGAGTTCAGTATGTAAGCTTCCCCAGAGAATTACCCCATTTCTTCATTTAAATAATTTATTTGGGCTGGAGCTGGGGATAAGGAGTTCAGTATGCAAGCTTCCCCAGTGAGAGAGAATTACCCTACCTCACTGCAGAGGCTTGAGGCCAGGTGAGAAGTGCTTTTCTGTGGCTGCTGAAGCTGCAGCAAGTGCAGCTAAGGGAACAGTGCATGTCCCTGATTGGGACAGGTCCAGGTTCGTCTGCCTCCAGAACTCCCCAGACAGAGTGGGGAATGCAGCAAACTGTTCACTTTTCCCTCACTCCCTGATGAAAGGAAACAGCCAGTGAGTGTTCCTGTATGAATTGGAGGGGGTGGAGGGGAGCTTCAGTCCCTCTGCCCTCCCTAAAGGGCACCTGGGGGGGTGGGAGTCTGGGGGTTGGTGCACCCCTTTCTATCTCTGGTGATTCTATCTCTTTTCTGTATGGTTTAATTCTGAATGCATCTCCGTATGAATCGGGGGGTGGGAGGGAGGAGGGCAGAGTTCAGATTCCCCTATCCCGTTCCTGCCCAACCAAACCCTTACCTTGTAGGAAGCTGCCTACAAATTTGGTGGTTCTAGCTCTTACCGTTTAGGAGGAGTTCTTGAACAAACAGACTCAGAGTTACAGACACGCACACTCTCTCAAATACATAGTAGACTAGATGATGGACCTGGTATTGCTCGGGTCCTTAACTCAAATATGTATATATATTTTTTCATTTAAATCATTGCTCTGGGCTGGGGCTAAGGATGAGAGGTTCAGGCAGGCTGCCCTGAGAAGAGAGAGGACAAACCAGCCCTCTCTCATCGCAGCAGCTTGGGGCCAGTTGAGAAGTGCCTGTCCATGGCCACTGTAGCTGCAGCTGGCACAGATATGGGAGGATTGCATGTCCCCTAACTGGGTAACAGACAGATTCGTAACCAGATACATTCTCTGAAATATCATATATATAGTAGCCCAATGTCTGTGACTCTGTAACGTTGTATGGTGGGGTGGTGACGTACACGCCCAGGGGGTGGCGCCTGGACGAGGGCGCATCCCCGACGGAGACAGAGGAGAGCGGAGAGAGAGTGAGAGGCAGGAGGGGAGAAGAGAAAGAGAGAGACGGAGCAGAGAGTGAGAGGCAGGAGGAGGAGGAGAAGAGAAAGGGAAAGT